CCTTCCCCCTTGCTGCATGCATCGTTTGCTGTGCAGCGCCTCGTGTCGCTCATGGGAGGCAGGCAGCATCGCATTCACCAGCGAGCCAGGCATTGGCACCACCGTCCACTTGGATGTCATGCCCCACCCACCCACACCCCTCCCTCGCGTTTCCCTTTTGCTCCCCTTCCTCCTTGGCCCGTCCCTCCTCTCCCCTGCAGCGACTTGTGTCGCTCATGGGAGGCAGCATCGCATTCACTAGCGAGCCAGGCGTGGGAACCACATTCTACTTCGATGTCACGCTCCACACCCCCCCTGCCGACACTCTCTCCACCCCTCCGCCCTGCCCGCCCTGTTGCCCCCCTCCTTGCCCTCCTTCCTCCGCTCATTCCTTCCCAGCGCCCTGCCCTCCTCTCTCTGTAAGCCTCCCTGCTCCACTCGCTGCCTCTATGCCTCTACTGCCTCACACCATCTCGCCTGCTGCTTCTGCTTCTGCCGCTGCTGCTTGCTCTTCTGCTGCTTGCACTGCTGCTGCTGCTGCTGCTGCTACGAACAAATGGTGGGAGTGAGATGGGTGTGTGTGTGCTGGCTGGTGGGAATGAGGGGAGGGCTGCACCGGGATGGGAGGGCGTGGTTGTGGTGAGTGTGGACGACCGGGCGGTGCGGCATGCTGTCACTCTCTCTCTGCTGCGCCGCCTTGGCATCTGCACCCTCCCCTGCCCCTCCTTCCACCTCCTCCCCCGCCTCCTCGCCCAACACCACTACGGCCTCCCTCCAGCTGATGAAACAGCTGCACCTGAATCAGCACCAGCAGACGCACATGAATCAGCATCTGATATAGCAACGATTGCAGCATCAACAGGAGCACCAATAACAGCAGCAGCCGCAGCAGCAGCAGGAGCAGCAGCAGCAGCAGGAGGAGGAGCAGCAGCGAGTGTAACAGCAGCAGGAGCAGCGAAGAGGAAGAAAACATTTTCTTTGGGTAGGGGAGGGACACCCGAGGACTCACCATCTTTCTCTCTCGTCCCTCCCCTCTCCAGGGCTGAGACGTCACCAGACTCTATGTCCATGTCTCTCATCCCTCTCCTTCCTAACTCTAACAAAACCATGAGTCAGCCTCTTGAGGCGCCTCAGAAGAAGACCAGGAGTCAGTCGCTCATCCCTCTCCTCCCTGACTCCAACAAGGCCAGGAGCCAGCCTCTCCTCCGCTTCGCACCGCACCACTGGCGCCACCGCTCCTCCACCGCTGCGCATGTTCCCCCAACCACTCTCCACCGCACAGCCACTCACCCGACCAGTCTGACTCCTTCCTTTTTAGCCCCGCAACCTCCTGCTTCTTCCTCTCTAGCCGCTGCTCCCGTTGCCACGTCTGCTTTGTTTCCTTCTCCTTCTGCCTCTGCTGCCTATACTGCCGCTGCTGCGGCCTCCTCTGCTGCTGCAACCTCTGCTTCATTCCCTTCCACTGCGGGCCCTTCAGTTGCTGCTGCAGACACGGGCAGCAGCATGTCTCCCAGGCTGGCCTCTCTCCCGCGCTCCATCTCTTCCCCTGCCACCTCTGCACCGCCCACCACTGCTAAAACTGCCCTTGCTGCAGCTGCACGTGCAAGGGGGACCGGTGTAAGCTCATCGATCGCAGCCCCTGGGAGCCCTTCAATCACAGCCCCTGGATCCAGCTCTCTGGACGCATCCCCTGCAAAAATGGCCTGTGTGCCCCGCTCTCTCTCGGCCTCTCCTTGCTCTGCTGACTTAAGCCCAGCTGCTGATGCTGCACTGGCTGCTGTGCTCCAAGGGGCCACTGCTGTGGAAGACTCCCCTACTGCTGGCCTTATTCGGAACCCCATTTGCCGTTTCTTTGCTGAACACCTGCAGGAGCAGCAGCAGCAGCAGCAGCAGCAGCAGCAGCAGCAGCACCACCACCACCACCACCACCACCATCACCCCCATCCATCTTCACTCCCCACCTTCCCCTCACATCCCCCTCTCCAGCCATCCCCCTCTCCCGACCTTTCTTCCAACCCTTCACACCGGTCCAAGCACCCTAAACCCGCCTCCTCCATTGCCGGAGCAGCTTCCATCTCAGCAGCGCAGCGCGTTAACGCCCGCGCCTCTTCCTTGTCTCGCACCCCTTCTCTCTCCCACAACGACCTCCCAAGCCTCCAAAGAGCGTTCCAGAAGCAAGCTCTGCAGAAGCAAGCCTTTCAGAAGCAAGCCGAGAGGGCGTATGCTGAGGGCGCATCCAGCCCGTCTCTCTCCTTTGACCCAGCCTCTACCCCTGCTCTCTCCTTCGACCCCCCTTCTGATCCCTCCAGCCCTTTTTGTACCTTCGGTCGTCATCCCGAACCTTCTCCTCTCCTCCCATCGAGCCCGTCTTGTGCCTTCTACTGCCTCCCTGAACCTTCTCTTGTCACCCAGTCCCTTCCCTCCTACCCTCCCAGGGACCCTTCCCTCTCCTCCACTCCTGCTTCCAGCCCACACGTCTCTGCACTCAGTGGCTCAGGTGTCATGGGTTCTGCACCTGGTGGCACGGGTGTCACCGGGGGAACAGGCCACATGGTGGGATCAGCGGCTCAAAAGCATGCAAGAGCATCGTCAGTAGGCGGGGTGGGTCCTTCCCGTCTCTCACCGCTTGGGGAAGGTGCACCTGGCAGGGTGGGGTGCAGCCTGCACGGTGCCAACAACTTTGGATGCGCGGCAAGGGATGGGGTGGGGCTGGAGGGGTGGCAGTCAACACGGTCAACTCAGTCAACCCGGTCAAGGCTGTCAATGCAGATGCAGTCAACGCTGCTAAGACAGTCGAGTGTGATGCGCACTGCGAGTGGGAAGGTGGTGAGTGTAAGCATGGAAGGGCCGAGGGTTGAGTCGAAAGCGTCGCTGCTGCTGCAGTG